TCTTGGACGCTTCAAATATAAATAAATTAATTAATTATTTGTCACCTACATATTTGAAACTTAATGTATACTATGATTGATATAAGAAAGTAAAATGAGAAGTGGTGTGTGACTTGTTTAATAGTTTTGAGATGTTAAGGGCAATATATACATTTATAGGGACTACTGACAATTTTTACATAAAAGATTAGTAAATACTTAATTGATATGTCTAAAACTTATTGGGTTTAAAATTTTAAGATAATTAAACCTAGTGATATTTAATTATGAATTTGTTGTTCTTGGAAGACGCCATGATAGAGGTAGAGGATTGTTGTTTGTGGTCATACGAAACGGTGGTTGTACATGGTGTTGCTTTTTATATTGTGTTACGTCTTCTTTGGATGGAGTTTTTTATTTGAATGAATTTGGCTTGCTCATGTTTTTGATACCATGTCTAAAAGTAACAAGAGGAGGCATGTATGCTGTTGTGGAGTATATCGAGTAACAGGAAATGAGATAGTAAATGGCAGGCAGAAAAATAATGATGGCTGGATTTGTCGCTTATTAGTAGAAGCACGTCAGCTTCTATTGGAAGTGGAGAGCGTCCCGGTCTCGTACTGCTAGTTTGCAGCAGAGGCGCAACTCTAAGATGGCACAAATGGCAGGCTCCATCAATTCGATCAGTAAACACTTGGTAAATGTTGAATCGTGGGTTTGTCCGCTTGCTAAATGGTGGAACCTAATTGAAACAAATTAAAAGATTTTGGAACCCAATTAAAAAAACTGAAAAACAATGAAAAACCAAAAAGGCAAAATCTGTCATCTTTCTTCAAATCGTTTTTTTTCTCTTCATTAATGACCCTAACGTTGTCGACAATAAAATGTCCTGCAATGGCCTAGCAATCGTCGGCAAAGCTCATCCTCGTCCAGAACAGTCCGCGATGTGGTTGGATAGATATAGGCTTTTCTCCTCTTCACTGAACGGTGACGTCTTGTCGAAAAATTCCAAGTTTAATATATGTGATATATAATATATTTATATATGGTCCAGATGCACGGCCTACTCGTCTGCTGGGCTCAAAAGCCTGGTGGTTACGACCACAATAATGGCAAGACTGTATTCTTCAGTTGTTTCAACTATTTCAAAGCTTAATCTAAATTTTTTATTTGTTAATCATTATTTAATTGATATCAAGCCATAAAATTTCAAAAAATAATTAAAGTACTTTTGAAAAAATTTTTGCAGGCAGCATTAATATTAATTTTTGTCAAAATAATCAAAAAATTCTCATATATATATATATATATATATATATGGTCCAATGCACGGCCTATCGTCTGCTGCTCAAAGCCTGGTGGTTCGACCACAATAATGGCAGACTGTATTCTTCAGTTCTTCAACTATTTCAAAGCTTATCTAAATTTTTTTATTTGATTAAATCATTATTTAATTGATATCAAGCCATAAAATTTCAAAAAATAATTAAAGTACTTTTGAAAAATTTGCAGCAGCATTAATATTAATTTTTGTCAAAATATCAAATTCTCAATACATGAATTAATTCAAAACTAATCTAATAATTAATCCATTGTTTTACACCTTAAGGGGTAGAGACGGAAGTGGATGGTTATTTTAGGGTACCCGCTTCGTTTAAAGAAGATATGGGTAATTATAAATAAGTTTGGAATATATATAGATATTGAAATTACTACTCGTAATGTATATGAGTAATAAAATTACTACCTGTAATAGATACGGGTAGGGTATGGGTATAGATCTTTGGATACTCGCTACTCGTTAACCGCTATATTAAACGGGTTCGGTAGTGGGTAACCACAGGTATCCTATCGATTATTAGTGAAAAATCTATTTTAAATAAGTTCGAATTTGGAGAATTTATGATTCGCAGGTACCTCACCCTTTTAAAAGGTACTTTAAGTGGATTTTGGATAGATATGAGTAGTAAAAATTTAAACGAGTTCAAATATGGATACTTAAATGAGTATTTAAATGAGTTTAAAACGGATACGAATACTAAAATTTTAAAGAGATACCTATACAGGTAGTTTAAAATTTCCAGGTACCTCACTTGCCTTGTTCTATCCTTATTAAGGAGTGTATTGCATTAAGATTTTGTTAGATTTTAAAATATTTCCAAAATTTTTGGATTGGTGGATAGATTTATGAATGACTCTTCTATTCATATCCTTTCGAATGAAATCAATAATTTTATCAAATCCTTTTGAATCAATAAATTTTTTGGATACAATCAAATTTTTATGGGCTTTTAAAAAGTCATAATTGAATATTATCAGATTTTTATGGATTTTATAAGAGTATGAATTGAAAGCCACAAAATTTTAATAGACTCCAAAAAATCTAGATTGAATACCATTGAAATTTTAAAATCTTTTAACAGAGGCTTAATCTAATACACCCCTTTAATTTATTTTTTTGATACATATTTTTTAATAATTAAATATTTGTGCCCGAAGCATAGCACAGGTAAATCTACTAGTAACAACTCAAGGATAATAATTTTTAATTACCCAAAAGGATAATAATTTTTTTGTCCATAATAATATTTTTATTGTGTTTCGTGGAAGAGAAAATGCAATTATTTGAAAAGTTGGCAAGTCATTTTGCCTTAAAATATAAAGAATTTATATTAAATGGTAATTGATTAAAAAAAACTTGCGATCATGCTCGCAAGTGTTAACACTAAAAGAAATTCGCATAGCAACAGATTTTCGGTTTCTAAAATATAAAATTCGTTGCTAATTTGGTTTAGCAGTGGAACACATTCGTACCAACTTGGCGTGTTTCTAATTCGGTTTAGAATGGATTATAATGTGTTTCTAAAGTTAAAACCGATAGTTCTTAAATGATATTTGATCTGTTGCTGTTTTGTTTCTAATTGTCATTTCTAACCTCTTCGAAAATGATATTTGATATATTTCTTTTGCTAAATTCGTTTCAAAATATTATCCATAGCGACCTAGATTTTCAATTATACAAACTTTCTTTAAGAGGATTATTTGGTTCCATATAGATACTTATTTGCTTCCATGTAGATAAGGGGTTATTAGGTGTATCTATTGTGACTCTGACTTTGTAATAGTTCAAATCTAACCAGAAATTGATATTGTCCGCTTCAACCTGAATTCACTCAAGTCCGCACGATTTTTCTTAAGCTAAAATCGTGGATAGATACGCATCCCTATTTGAAGTTATCCCACCATTTTGATTTAAATTTTCTAATCATAATGGACATTTTACTAGTAGGATCTTCTTTAAGTAATACTCCCAATAAATAACCTAAGGAACATGAAATTTTGAGGAAAAAGAGTAGCACCGGGTCAAATGAGACTTCAGATTCTGTTGGAATATAGTCTTTCTGGAAAAAAGTATGTCCTTCAAAATTATGGTCGGGGAGAATTTGTGTGAGAGATCCAAACCATTTCAATCAATTTGAGAACCAGAATGAGACTTTAGTTTCTTCATATCAATTGTTGGCTTTTGAGCCAATAAATCAAAATTATTTTTTGTGTCTATTTTTTATGAAGAAGGCACTGGTCCATGCTTGTTGGTAGTCCCAATAAGAAAAGGTTTGACAATAATGATTTTTATCACAGCCTAGATTTTGGTTTGAGATAGGTCTTGTCCCCAATCTTGTAGTTGAATGATTTTAAAAATTTTAGCAGTTGAGTATCTCTTTCAGGATCTTTCCTACAATCAAAGTGGTGAGAGATAATGGAACAGATTTTTGCTCCATTAAGATTAAAATGGTTAGAACTGACAAAGCCTATCTTTTCAAGTATGAGGTCAAAAATAGACTCAGAGGTTTAAATGGATCCCATTGCTTAAAATGTCAATCTTTGAAAGAGTTTTTGCAGAAATCCAAGGGCCTGAATTGTAAAATCCACCTTCTATGGTTAGAATTATTTGGTTGAAAACTTTGTAGAAATATTTTTAACCTTTTTATGAAAGGTAGTTTGGAAAGATTATTGAGGGAGAGAATTTTGAGAAGAGTCCTATGAAATCAAACTTTTGAGAAAGAGTTTTATTTAAGTAACACAATTTCTTTACCTTTTAGGAATTGATAAAGCTAAATCAACAATTTTATTACCTACCTAGATCTTACTATGGGGACCTCTCACACTCGTTAGACACCTCACACTAGAGCGAAATAAAACTAAAATAACATGTGTATGTATGTATATACAAATTAATTTAAATGATAGGTTAAATAAGTCTTTTAGGAATAATATTGTTAATTGTTATAAAAGCTTCTTTTTATTATTTGAAATAATTATTTTTTATAATTTTTTAATGACAATTAGGTAGACAAATTCAAGAGTTAAGGGCGGATTTAATATTTATTCTAATAAATAAATAAATAAATATGGTGGACTATATTAGGATTGACCTAATGCAAAATTTGTCCCTGAAGTTTACATGATTTGCCTTGTGGCACCCTCTAGTTTATGGACAATTATCATGATTCTACACTTTAATATTTCAATAATAACTAAGCCACTCGACAAAATAAAATGTAAAAGTGTAGGGTTATGATTGAACTTTTGTAAAGTCCTTTCATTTTAGCAATGAGTATAATCATTACTGAAATGTGAAAGTGCAAGGTCATAACAAGTACTGCAAAAACTTGAGGGTAATACAAGACAAATCATATAAACTTTAGGAGCAAATTTACGCATTTTAAGTACTAGGATTTAAATGGCTTAATTACTACCTAATACATGGATATTTTAGCTTTTCTTTCATCCACTTGGCAAATTTTATATGTATACATTGGGTGAAAAAATTATTTTGACCTATATAAATATTAGGAACTGTTTAATTTGTTTCTTGAAAAATTAAAAACGAACTGATGATTAATTAGGTTAAAATCACAATTACTAAATAGTAATTTGTACAAATGAAAATGACGCAAAAGTTAACCAACTCATTTTAAGTTATAACAAGAAGAAGAAAAGAATAAACTTGGAAGTGAAAATCTTGGAACTGAACTTCATATTTGCGCGTGAGAAAGAACTATAATACTCACTTTCCACTTTCACAATTTTCTGACATACACCAATTGATAAAGATGTAGATAATCTCAGAAAATATGTTACCATTTATCTTTACTAGCTATTACAACAATTCTACATGGTTAATCTACATTATTCAATTCCAGTTATTTCAGAATCCTCAACCTAACATTTAGCGACGTCAGGGGAGTGGAAAATAACAGGACAACCCTCCCTAATTACCTAGATTCAATGGAATAAGTTTCTGAGCCTCTTAGGAATGATCGGCGCCACCAAATCTGGAATGCTTTGCTTAGATTAGGGCATTCACTGCCATGCTTGGAGAAACACCTAAACCATTCCATAAATAGTGTATACTGCTGCTTCAGAGGAAGCGTTAACAGTGTCTGACCCATGGCTTCTTCCAATATTTTCATGTCCAACCCCTTTTTGCATCTCTGCAGCCAACCAAAATCTGATAGCATTGGACAAAACCATGCCTGGAGAAGTGCTGCTCTTGCTTCTGAGCGACAATGCAGTTTTCTGGTCCCCATTGCAATGAATAGATTTGCAGAAACCCTGCTAAGCTCATATCTGATCATGGGAGATGTACTCTCATGCAAATTAAGTAGCTCACCTTGACATGTCCACATATCCACAAATTCCTCACCCATCTGCCGATCAAGAAGAAGGTCCAGCAACCAATTTATGTTGTCAACCTGTCTGGAGATGCGTTCAATCAATGGTTTACCTCTTTCTTTTTTTATCACGCTCCCCTTGGGAGAGGTGTGCGAGGCCTCCTCCATGAGGGTTGCCAGTGAACCTAGACAGGACTGACAAACAACATAGAGATCATCCTTATTAAGTTCAGGTTGGTCCTTCTCATAGATTGAGCTTTTGCAAAAAAGACCCTTAACTAATGACTTTAGTTCATTTCTTGCATTAGCATCTGTACAGGTGGTGATAGACCAAACTAGCTGTCTAGCTAAATTTTGTTGACCTACTGAATTACACAAATTTAGTCTGGCTAAAATATCTTGAGTTGCTGTCTCCTCAAACTTGAACACTGAAAAAAGACCCCTTAGTTTTTCCTCTTCCTCCTCAGTCCAAGGAACAGCCTCAAGGTATTTCAAACAGGACAAAACACCTTTGGTAAACATGATGCTAGCAGATACCTATCATAGTTTCAGAATAACTTGTTAGATGAATTAAACACAACACCACTCACCCATAAAACAAAAATTTTCAATATTTAAGCTCCCATACATATTTTTCCTATGCTAACCACATGATGCCAAAGATATATCCAGCTTTATCCTGGAATATAAAAGAGACCAACATAATCTATAAGCTCTTGTTTTGTAGGTTGTTCATATTTATATCTTTATCATATCATTGAGTCAAAATTTCTTAAACACCTCCCTCCATATTCATCCTAAAGATCTTTTAACCATCACGAAAATAGAAATCGAGGGACAGGGTGTTGGGAATCTTAACCGTATCTGATTTGTTTGTGATGTGGAAATTTGAGAATAAATTTTGTTAAGTAACATCCGCTCTGCTATAGACAATTCAATCTCAGCAAACAATGCACAATCTGCATGGCATCAAAGTGGTACATTGCTCACCGCTTATGTGAACTGTAGTACCCAATGGTAAAAATGCAACAAGGATGTTTGGTGCATTTATAGACTGACAACATGTGACATGACCTCAATGTGCTAGTGACATAAGATTGCGTATTTAATTGTTCTGGTGTATAATTTAATAATTTGGGAGAGACGCTAATGACAATACCAATTTGAGAAATTTACACTGCAAGCAGTAAAGCATCCCTGGGGGCCAATGAGCATTAAAGGCCCGCCTTACTTAAGGCTCAAGGGCTTGCGCCTCAACAGTCCTCATGCGGGCGACTTCACTCAGGCTATCACCTCTGGGTAGAGGCATGTGCCTTCTTGGCCTTTTTTGCACCTAAGGCTCAAGAAAGGCGCGCCTTTCTTTTTTTTTTTTTCCCTTGAACAAGTCACCTAGGGTTTTATTCAATATAAAGCTCTCTAGCAGCACCTGCTTACATAAAAATAAATAAATAAATAAGTTAAAAGAAATAAAATGCAACACAAGAACCAGTGATATCCTTTGTGATCCAGCCTCCACTTCTTCATCTAGATTTTATATGTTCCCTTTTCTGATCAGAAATTTTTTTTCCAATTTTGAATTTTTTGTTCATTTTTTTCCTGTGCCTCACTTGAAACAGGCGCGCGCCTGCGCGTTGCTCCTTGTGCCTAGGCTCCGAGAGCCCTTTGCACCTTAGTGCACCTTGCGACTTTAATTTGCACCCTATAGGCTGCATCTAATTTGCAAAAATTGTGGTTTCTAATTGATGTTTGGATAATCAGTTCCATAAACACTTGAAAATATATTTCAGAATGTCATAAAAAAGGAAAACTGATCTATGGATTATGCTGTATATAGTAACAGAATGATGAACTTTCAGTTATTACCAATTATAAAGTTGTTGAACCGAAAGTTTACAAACATTAATCTAACGTTAGTCTCTTAAGTTGTGCTTTTCAAAAACCTTTATGAGTGAAGAAGTATAAAAAACAAACAAAATCATATCACAGCAATGCGTGTGTGCGCCATTTTATAGGTGCATGCTTGTATACCTGCGTGTGTGTCTATAAAAGAGCCTGGGTGCCTGATTCATAGAGTTGTCTAATACAGTATGTATCAAATCAATTCTACTAAAATCTTAATCTCGAGCTATCTGGTTTTGGTAATACAGATCCCTGTTTTTGGGTCTATCCTATCCAAAGAATGTTTTCTGTAATAACAATTATTCACCAAATCAATTAAAACCACAGTTTTATTTTATCTAACTTTCACATTTTTTTTTCTTGTAATTTTTTCATCAGTTATTTACACAATCTTTGATGTTGGCATCAATTATTGCAGGCCTAAGGAGGATATGTGCTAACCTGCCAATGCTTCTAGAAAAGAAGTTTGAGAGTATTGGCTCACATTTTGCCAGGTCAAAATATATATCACTTCCTTAATTTATACCAAATTTGTTGCACTTGTACACACAAGATTTTGTGAAGCAAAATATATACCACATCTACAATTTTGGAGTATTGGCACGCTCATCCTTGACAACTGAGACATGGTCACCATTAATACCAATGCAAAAGGTTGCATGTAAACTTGGTAAAGAAATGTAAAACATAAAATCGAAAATTATATGTTTATGTTTTGTTTTAATGTGGTGAGACTTCCCTAAAAACATGATCGAAAATTATATTTTTATGTTTTCTTTTAATGTGGTAAGGCTTCTCTAAAAACATGATCCATTTGTTTTCTTTCCTTCTTCACAAAGGTAAACAAAAACGGAAGCAGCTTAAGTGATTCAAACTAAAATTACAACGTTCAGATAAAATTCATAGTAAAATGTTCCCCCCAAGATTCAATTATCATGTATTCAAACTTGCTTAAGCTTAAAAGAAAGAGAAAAAGAAGGCAGACGACAAGCACACCTAACAAAAATGGCAATTTAAGGTCTCATAAGTATTCTACACACATTACATAACATTTCTGCTAAAACCCGGAAACAAAAACATAGAAACAACATATATTATGTAAAAGAAATAACAGAGAGCACTAACCTCAAGTATGTCGATGGCTCTATAAACCCCAATCTTCAAGAGTTTCTTAGTAATATCCTCCTCAAACATTAGCTCAATTGTGTCCCGAAAAACCCCTAAATTCTCCACATCAGGAACCTCTATTCTACACATCTTCAACGAATCATTATTAAGGTTATTATCACTCGCCAACCCCAAACCTTTTCGGTACTCTGTAATCAACCCCGCAAAAACCTCCGAATTCGCAATTAGGACCTCCGAGGTCGTTTCCAGTACTAAAGCAGCTCCCTTCTTCCCCCTCAATTTCAGCCTCACATCAAACAGGCCTCCGCATGGCTCCGACCAAGAACCCGAATGTGATAAAGAGGCCTCATTCTTGCCCCGGAAAGAGTTGGATCTTGACTTCGGAGCTGAATCGACAGCTGGAGATGGGTCAGCGACGATTTCATGGATGGGATCGACGGTTGGATCAGAATCTATGGGAGAGACACGGCCAGGAGAAAGTATCCTTCGTGGGTCGATTCTACCCACGAAATGTAACCCGGATTTGGAGCTAAGCGGTGAGTTAGGAACCGAGTTGGAACTAGGTTTGGAGATCGATTCAAGCTTTTTATGGTGAGGTTTGGCTATTATTACAGGGTTTTCAGGGCTAGGCGGATGTCCAGTTAAGGAACAGCACCACGATAGCTTCCGTGTTTGAGAACTCGGCTTCCGGCGGGCGGAATCGGCCATGGATAGGGTCGAGTCAGATGGCGCGTTCTAGAGAGAGAAAGCAGCAGAGGCCATAGTATAGTAATAGTAATAAACTAAACTAATAATGGAATAAAAGAGAAGTGGAGGAGAAGAGCATTGTTTGGTAAGAGATGCCTCATAGTAATGATTTAAGACAAAAGTTGTGTTTTGCTTTGTGACTTTCTCGGGAATCGGACGGATATTTGAAGGGTTATTCTGTTATGTTAGTTTTGTTGTCTACAAGGCCAAGATATATTTTTTTAAATTTAATATTTTCAGTCAATTTAATTCTTATTTTATTTAGAGAAAAAATTGTCGTAACTTATCTTTTTGATCAATTTAACATCTGAAATTATTTAAAATTATTAAATTAAATCCTCTGATTTTTCGCTAAGCTTGCAATTTGGAAATTTCTGTATAAACATAACATTTATTAAATCTATACTTCGGATTTGGTTATATAATTTTTTCAAAAAAATTATATATGGATAGATGAAAAAAATATAAAAAATATATTATATTATATTTCTCTTTAACTTAACAAATGAGTTTAAGTTTATAAGCATGTACTAGTTAGAAAATTTAAAGAATTGACCTTTATTAATGGATTTATTTACATGTTAAGTACATTAAATTAATACTATATGTTATGTGAATTTACCATGTGTTGAAAAAATGATATTGTCACGATCCGATTTCAAGGACTAAAACGGCACTAAGGGCTGGATGGGCTTAAAGCCTCATAGGCCCATAGTAAGCCTAAATCAATTAAACTCATATTTTGTTCAGTTATTACCCCGAGTCAAAATATACATGCTATTCACCCCCAAATATGCATACCAAATTTATCATGATATACTATGATCATTCTATGGCATATTGAATAATTTAGCATATTCGTATGCAGTATCATAATCACTTGGTATGCATAGGGTATATTTTATTAATGATGGGTATAATCATTAAATTATAGTCTTTGTTTGATGATTAATTAGTTAATTCAACAGAGACATTTGATTGGTTGATAGAGATTAAACTCAAGTAATTAAACTAGGCAAGTAATTCTCTAACTGATTAACTTTAAAATACCTACTACCAATATGAAGTTGGGAGAGAGGCTTTTTTTAGATAGTTTGTATGCAGTAAATAATTATAGAGAAACAGGATTTGAAAGAATTTATTAAAATATATTATTTTGAAACTTATTTATGAGTATATTTGTAGAAAATAAAGATAGAGTCTAAAAATAAATTTAAATTAATTAATTTTAGTCTAAGATGATAACAAAGCGAAAAGATAAATAAAAAAAATCTAGAGTTGTTTTTTATATCCTTATTCCTTAACAATAATGACAAACCAATATGAAGTTGAAGCCATGAGAAATTTTTACTTAGTTTAAAGAAACTACCTGATCATTTTTACTTTTTATACTTTTTATTCTTTTTTATCTTTTCATAAAGGAGATGAGCTTGAAAAGATACAACATATAAAAGCAATAATTAATGAAATTCATATTATTTATAAAATAATTTATATTATGAATGTAGGTTCTAAATTGCATCTTCAAATAATAATAGCTAGCTCACCAATGGAGGTTGGTAGCAATGAAATTCCACTATCATGTGAAAATACTCCAATTTCAGCAACTCTAAAAAATAGTAGTTCAACACCTAGTAGCAATAAACATGCTTCTTGTGAAGTTGAAGTTGTTGGAATGAGAAGAAAAAGAAAATTAACCTCAGATGTTTGGAATGATTTTACAAGAAAGGTTGTTGAGGGGAAAGAGAAAGCTCAATGTAATTATTGTTTAATATTTTTAGTAAGAGAAAGTAAACATTGGACTTCACATTTGCATCAACATTTAAAAAAGATTTCATAGGAAGGACTTTCAAAATATAAAGGACATGAGGCAAAAAGTTCTAATTAATGAACAAAGAAAAGTAGATGGTGTGATTAAGTCTACCATAAGCACTTATCATTTTGATGAGGATACAAAAAGAAAAGAGCTTACTCGCATGATCATTTTACATAAGTTCCTCTTAGAATGGTTGAGTATACTGGTTTTAGGAGTTTCGTGCATTCTCTTCTAGCATAATTTAAAATGGTTTCAAGACACACAATAAAAAGGGATATTATGGAAACGTATGATTATGAGAAGAAAAAAATGTTTCAAAACATTGGCCAAGATTCACAGTAGGATTGATGTAACATGTGTTATGTGGACTTCAAGCAACAAAAAGAGGGGGTTCATGGTAGTTATAGCACACCACATTGATGATTGTTGGGTTTTGCGAAGTCGCATCTTAAAGTACTTTCTGACCCATATATTGTATTATTGCTTTTATTTATATTGCTTTTTACTTGTATTTATAGTAATTGTTTGAATATCATGAAACTAAAAAATTAAAAATTTAATAACAATCTTGATTATTTGTTGCATGATTTTTGTTTAGGTTAATTTATGTGCCATCTCCTCATACAAAAGATGTTCTTTGTGATGTTCTCCTTGATTGTAAGATAGAATGGGATATTGAAAGAAAATTATCTATTTTGACTTTGGATAATTGTATTACCAATGATGCCATGCTTGGGCTTCTTTTAGATAAGCTTCAAACTAGTACTCTTTTTTTGGATGGTTCTTTATTGCATATGCGTTGTGCTGCACGCATTTTAAATTTGATTATGCAAGATGGTCTAGCAATTATTTTACCTTTTATTGAAAAAGTGCATGATAGTTTGGTGCATTGGACTGGCTCACCAAAGAGGAGGCAAACATTTGATGAAATGGTTAGATTAATGCGTATTTTCATGCACTAAGGAGTTGGCTCTTGATTGTAAGACTAGGAGGAATTCAACTTATTTGATGCTTTCTACTGCTTTGCTTTACAAAGATATGTTTTTTCAATTGAGACAAAAAGATTCATCTTATACTTGTGTGCCAAGTGAAGAAAAGTGAAAACTAGCAAAAGAAATTTGCGAAAAGTTAAAGTTGTTTCATGATGTGACCAAAGTATTTTCAGGCTCTAAGTATCCTACAGCTAATGTCTATTTTACTAAGGCTTGCGAAGTGAAATTAGCTTTAAATGAATGGATTTTGTTTTCTAATGAGGTAATAAAGTGTTAAATAAACTTTAATATAGCCTAGATCTTATTGTTCATAGAATTTGTTTAATAAGAATACACAATAAGTGGAAGCGTACCTTGATCTATAGCTATTGATTACCTCGTTGCGGCAATTCGATTCTTGCGAAGTGAAATTAGCTTTAAATGAATGGATTTTGTTTCTAAATGAGGTACATAAAGCTGTTAATAACTTTAATATAGTTGTTCATAGAATTTGTTTAATAAGAATACACAATAAGTGGAAGCGTACCTTGATCTATAGCTATTGATTACCTCGTTGCGGCAATTCGATTCTCACTGTAACAGTAGATATACATTTCTTCACTCTGGCCTTTAGTACGTAAGTTCTCTCTTAATGGTCAAAGAGTTATCAACAGCAGCGGGAGTTTTCTTTTCATGTTCTCTCAAACAACCTATCACCACTATAGGTTTCAGGTAGCCATCACACTCTCTCAATGTACGCTGTTGATTTCCTTAATCTTTTATAAGGCAGAGGAAGGGTATTAAAATCCTAAATGGTCCTCATCCTATTAAGCCCAATAACCATCATCTTGGGCTACTTTAATTAGAACTAGCCCTTTGATTACATGGGCCACTCATGTTAATAACCTAACAATTTCCCACTTGGCCCATGCGCATTTCTTAAATCTATCATGTTAACCTTAATTAGAATTAAAGTCATCAGATTATGACGGTCACAAGTCATTAATCAACATGATTCCTTCCATACATCACAGATCATCTCAATTCATAATAACTTTAATCGAGAAATGATTCAACAGACAATACATTGTTATAATCAACGTTATTGTTATCTCACTCAAACCATTATTGTAATACATTTATAATGTGGATAACACATAAATAAGCAAAAACACATCTTTAATTAAATTCCCAATTGTCACAATAATATAAGCAAAATAACCATATATATATATATACAAGTTTGAACATCATGCTAACAAGGACTTATCTATAATGCCCATCCTATCAACATGGCTAGTGAAGATTCCGGGCAGAAAGCCTTTAGTTAGCGGATCCGCTATCATCAGATCAATACCGATATGCTCGATTGACACCTTGTATTTTTGCACTTCTTCTTTCATAGATAGGTACTTCAAATCCATGTGCTTTGCACCCTTAGAATACCTATCGTTCTTAGAGAAGAAAACAGCTGCAGAATTAGAATACCTATCGCTTCTTTAGAGAAGAAAACAGCTGCAGATTATCAGTGTAATTTCTCAACGGTCTAGCTATACTATCAACAATGCACTAGACCCTGAAAACAAAGTTTCTGCAACCACAATGCATTGAACAGTGGCCTCAAGAGCATGCAAATCCAGCCTCCATTGTGGAATAGCAATGACAGACCGCTTTTCACTTTCCATGAAAACTGTGGCTCTCCAGTCAGGAGAAGAAAGTAGCCCAAATGTAGATTTTTCACTCGAATCTACCCATCCGGCATAGTTTGAATCTGAGTATCCACCACTTCAAATGGGTAGACTTCTGTAAGTGAGTTAATGATCTTAGTGCCTTGATAAATATATAAGTACTTTATTTGCAGCTTTCCAATGGTCCAATTCCCGGATTACTTTGGTATAGCCCTAACATTTCCGACGGGCGAAAACTAATATTACGTCGAGTCACATGTCATGTTTGAACATACATTAAGCTCCCAACTACTGACGCATAGGGAATAGACTCCATCTCCTTATGTTCCAAATCATTCTTAGGACATTGCATTTCGCTGAACATATCTCATTTCTGAATTGGAACTATTCCTGTGGAGCATCTTTCCATTCTGAATCTCTCTAATACCTTGTCAATGTAAGCGAAAACCCTTTACATCATGTATCAATCCAACATCATTCACAGCAAGAAGAATGTCACAAGAAGAATGTCATCAACATATAGGACTAACATAATGAACTTGCTCCCACTGACTTTCATATCATTACACCGATCAACAATGTTTTCTATAAATCCATATTTAAGTGATGGTATTGTTGAACTTAAGATACCATTGACGGGAAGCTTGCTTCAGCCCATATATTGATTTC